GTTTATTTCTTTCTCTTCCCATTTTAGTAGGGCAAAATTTTATTTTCTTTATAGGTACATATAGAAATTTTGGGGAAAAAAGTGGAAGACAATTTCTTATAATGTTTTTAAACTAAGTTTCTGTCAATGTGACTGACTTCTCCAGGATTAATTTTACTTCCTTGTTCTTTAAAAAGTCATTTTGCTGGGTGTTGTGGTGCATGCCTGTAATCCTAGCACTCCAGAGGCTGAGGCAGGAGGATCTCTGGGGGTTCCAGGCCAGCCAGCCTAAGCTATATAGAGTTCAAGGCCACCCTGAACTGCAGAGGGAGAGCCTGTCTCAAAAAAAAGTTATTTTGTCTATCTCACTACAATGTCTAAAACATGTCTAACACATGGCAGGTGTTCAACAATTTGAATGAATATTGTTTATATTGAATATATTTATATCTAAACTAGCAAACGAATGCAAGTGTCAAAAGCTCAGGCAGGGTTGCTTTTATTTACTTAAAAAAATGTGTACAAGAAAAACGTTTCTCCTTCTGGATCTTCTTTCACTGTATAACCCACCAACCTCATTCTAGGTTTCTGTTGGTTATTTTCATATTTCTTCTCCTTACTCTTCACATCAAAATCTTTTGGGAATCATTAATTTTTCTTCACCAATATATGTTTCTTCCAGGAAATCAATGTGTTAGTGTGCATTGTACAAAAAAATGCATTCATGTTTTATTTGGATTAAAAGAAGAAAGTTCTTATTTTACTCTATAAAATAAAGGTAAAAAATTTCATAATAAGATAATAGAATTACAATAGTTAATACTTTGCATATTGTCATCTTCAAAGTAGTTACTCAGAGTACAAGATACGGGCATAAAAAATTCTCCAATCGATATTAGCACAAACCTTTCTTTTCTATGAACTTAGAGACACTAACAGTATAACTAACTTGCATTTTTTTCTCCCTTTTCCTCTCCTCCTTTTCCCCAATCTTATTTCCTTTTTCCTTTTAAAAAATTTCTTTCAATTTCACAATATTTATTGTACATTTTAGATTTTATTTACTCTTTCAATTTCTCACACCAGGGACATAATATGATGTTTATCCATGTAGGTCTGATTCATTTTATTTATGAGTATGGTCTCAAGTTGCATCCATTTACCTATAAAGGTCTTAAATTTATCCTTCTTTATGGCTGAGTAATACTCCATTGTATAAAAATACTACATCTTTTTAATCCATTACTCAGCTGGTGGATATTTGGGTTGTTTTCAAGAGTTAGCTATTACAAATTCTGCTGCTATAAACATGGGTACACATATATCACTACCGTATGATGTTTTTAATTCTCCTGGAAAAATAGCCAGAAGGGGGATAGCTGGGTCAAATGGGACCACCAATCTTAGCTTTTGGAGAAAAATCCACACTGATTTCCACAGTGGTTGCACAATCTGCACTTAAACCAACAGTGGAGAAGGGTTTCTTTTTCCCCACAGCCCATTTCTTGATGATAGCCATTCTTTCTGGAGTGAAATGGAATCTCAATGTTGTTTTAATTTGCATCTTTTGAATGACAAATGCTGTTGAACACTTTTTCACATATTTATTTGCCATTTGTACTTCTTCATCTGAGAAGTGTGTATTCATTTCAGATGCCCAATTTTTGGATTGGGTCTTTGAATTTGGGGGGGGGTTATCTAGATTTTTTTCAATTCTTTATATGTTCTACATAGAAGTCCTTTGTCTGAGGACAATTTGATAAAAATTTTTCCCACTTTATGGGTTGCCATTTCATTCAGTTGGTGATTTCTTTTGATGTGCAAAAACTTCTTAATAAGGTAAGAGTCAAGTTGTTGATTCTTTGAAGTATTTCCCCATGCAGTTTTGGTTTTTTTCATGAACTCTCTGCCTACACCTACATCTTTAAGATTTCTAGCTTTCTCTTCCAGTAGCTTTAATGTTTGTTTAAAAATTTAGATCTTTGACCCATTTTGACTTTAGTGTAATGCATGTTGATAGACATGGGTCTACTTTTAGTCTTCGGCATGTGGAAAGCCAGTTTTCCCAGCACCATTTGTTAAAGAGATTATCTTTCTTCCAGTGAACATGTTTGGCCCCTTTGTGAAAGCTAAAGTAGCTGAGCGTGTTTGTAGTTGTATCTGAATCTTTTAATCTGTTACACTGATCCTCAGGTCCAATTTTTTGCCAGTACCATGCTGATTTTATCACAGTGGCTTTATAGAATAATTTCAAGCCATGGATTGTGATGCTTCCTGCCTTGTCCTTGTTGTCCACAATTGCTTTTTGTTACTCTAGGTCTCTTCTGGTTCCAAAAGAATTTTAGGAATGTTTTCTCTATTTCTGTGAGGTATGTTAATGGTATTTTGATTGGGATGACATTAAATCTGTATAACAGTTTGGGGAGTATGGCCATTTTCACTATGTTGGTTCTTCCTATCCATGAGCAAAGGATATCTATTTTCTGATATCCTCTTCAATGTCCTTTTTCAGAGTACTGCGACTTTCAATGTATAAATCTTTTACTTCCTTCGTTAGACTGACTCTTAAATGTTTCTTTTTTCTTTCTTTTTTTTTTTTTTTTTTGGATGTTATTGTGAAGGGTACGGTTCCCCTAATTTCTCTCTCAGTGAGTTTGTTGTTTGTATACAAGAATGCTATTGATTTTTGAGTGCTGACTTTGTATCCAGCTACACTACTGAATTTGGTGATTAAATCTAGAAGTCTTTTGGTGGAGTTTATGGGTTCTTCTATGTAGAGTATCATGTCCTCTGTTAATAGTGATAATTTAATTTAGATGACAGTTTTGTCAGAAATTAATTCCTGTTGGCTGCAAAGCATGTCAAGTCAAAAAGCTGTTAATGTGAAAAAATTACAGGTCTAGGATAAGACTAGGTGTTAGAGACAAGAGACCACAGTAAGTTTCTTTTATAAATGGAATACAAATACCATAGTAACTTATCTACCACCATCTAATCTTTTGAAAAGTACATGAATAAACTCTTTTAATAGTTAAGAACTTGCTTATCATCCCTTTGTACTGAATTAGTATTTCTTTGCAATTCCCACAAAAGGTTAATATATTTTTGTCTCTGAAAATACTTAAAATTAATCATTTCCCTAGAACAACAAAATTAAAATTTCCAAAGAGAAAAACTGTAAAAATTTCTTTAATAGTCTGTTATCATAAAATTACAATACTACTGACCAAATAAACATTTTACAGCTATAATCATTATAAAATATCAAAACTGAGATTTTGTTGTAAATATGAATTGTATCATTAACAATTGGGTAAAGATTGGTGAGAAGTCAGGGTCAGGTGGAAAAAGTGGAAAGAGATGGTAGAGCTCTTGGGGTATCTCACTTTTATTCACAATGACCTTTAAGCAGGATACTTTTCAAAAAAAATTCTGGCATCATGAGTATTCAAGTCAAACATATATTTTGTTAATAAAGTCCAGTTTTTAAATATTTCTAATTAAGAGGTGTGTATTTTAAAACATAAATGGATTCTTATCAGATTTTAAAAATACTTAGTTTACCATTTTTCTCTTTACACTCAGAGAAAAAACTTTTCCTGCATTTTCAATTTCCAAGTTTTTCTCTACTCTGAATGTTCAATAGACATACTTCAACATCTTCAATTAAAATCTAGATTATCACTTTACTTCTGATGACACTGCATATCTCAACTGATTTTAAGACTGTTCAAAACTTTGCTGGCCAAAACATACAGTACTGCTTTGATGGGACAGTCTTTAAATGGAAAATTCACAAGGTCTATCATAAAAACAATCAAAAAGGCTAAGGACTGATTCTTGCTCAAAATATTAAAAATACTGCCCCGAATCTTGCTTAAAATATTAAAAAATATTGTTCTTTTCCATCTCCCAGTCCAACCAACTGAAGCAAATGGATCACCTTTCTGATTACATTCAAAGCGGCCTTAAATTTTTTCTAAAGTATCTAACTTTAAGATGTGCTCTTTCTAACAGCTGTGAGGTTTTAAAAGACAAAGAGACTTTAACAATAAGAGCATATTTTGAAGTAAACCTTTAGGTTGTACCACCCTGTTGAGCTGACAACTGGGCTAATTTATTAAGGCACATGCAGAAAACCCTTCCAACAGAACACTGACAAAATTTAGGCCTTTGGGTGACAAAATACTACAGTGGGGAGTGGTGTCAAGTGGTGCTAATTTAAAGAGCAAAACCTTTCTAATTAGTGTCGTGTCCTTTTTTTGTTTAACTAAAAATACCCTTCAGGTTCGGAGGCTACCCTGTCTGCACTAGGACTATCACGAATTGGCGACGCCACAGCTCAAGACCGTAGCATCCAGACACAACCCGAGGTGGCGGCAACTCTAGGGAAAGCGGGTACAGCCCACAGCTGTCACCTCTGTGTCTCCCCCCGGCCCAGCAGCTGAGCGAGGTGCTGGGGCCCGCGTTTGTCTGTGAATGAATGTGGGACCTCAGCAAACCCTCAAGTGATCGCCCCAGGGTTCGCGACACGGCCGCGAGGCTCCTCCTCAGCGCGCATCCAGGGTCCGGCCAGGAGGAGCAGACGACGCGGAACACCTAGCGCTACAAAGCTCCGCTCCAAGCAACCCCCGCCGAGGGAAAGGAGCGCGCTACAGGGCGCCCTCCTGAGGCGGCCCTCGCCCCACAGCCTCCGCGACCTAAACCGCTCTTACCCCGCGCCACTCCGCCTTCGCACGTCGCCGCCAGCGCGCCCGGCCTGTCGCAGAGGCTCACGGGAAGCGTAGTCCGCGCCGCGCTGCGCCACGCCCCCCAGCCCCGCCCAGCTGCC